GGGGCCGTAGGGTAGGGGGCGGGGCATGGAGAGTCAGCTATTAAGTGAGGGATAAATTAAGGATGGATAGGATGGAATTGGAATAAAATAGGTGGGGAGCAAGATGCCCCAGGAACTCATGGGAGGTAGGCTGGGCTGTGGGAACAAACACAGAGCTGAGCGCCCCCCTCAGTTCCCCTCCCACTCCCTTGGGCAGATCATTTAAGGATTCCTTACCTGATAAGTGTGTCAACTTTCTTCACTGGTCTTTATTGGCTTACTGGGAGGATCAAATAAATAAATAAATATGCTTTGATGGCTACAAAAGACCAAAGTTACCATTATTACTCTGCAGATTCGTGGAGGGAAGCTGATGATGTCACATACACTCAAGAGTGATGCAGGGATGTATGTGTGTGTGGCCTCCAACATGGCAGGAGAACGGGAGAGTGGGGCAGCTGAACTTGTGGTGCTGGGTAGGCACAGGGAGTTTGGGGGTTATGGGGGTGTGCAGCCTGGGTGGTAAGAAGCTTTGTAGATCCCCTGACGATTCACTCACTCTGGCTCCATAGAGCGACCCTCATTCCTGCGTAGACCAGTGAATCAGGTGGTCCTGGCAGATGCCCCCGTGGATTTCGCATGCGAGGTGCAAGGGGATCCCCCACCCCGTCTACGCTGGCGCAAGGAGGATGGGGAACTGCCCACAGGCAGGTGAGAATCCCCCTCCTCCTGCTTGTAAGGAGACCCAACCAGCTCAAGAGCATACTCTGCCCTAGAAAACTGGAAGGCAGACACCGTCTCACTTGATGACACAGAGAAATCTGTCTCCCAGAGCCTGTGGCCCCTGCCCTATCTAGTCCCCATCCGTCTTATGGGTCTATGGATACCAGCTTCGGTCCCTGTTGGGGCCTACCTTGTCTTTATGTAGCCTGATTCTGGTGTCTGTCTTGGGGGAGAGAGAAGGGGTCTGTAGCTGTGGCCAACCCAGCCTGGGGGTGGGGAGTGGAGCAGGTATGAGATCCGGAGTGACCACAGCCTTTGGATTGGGCGTGTGAGTGCCGACGACGAGGGGACCTACACCTGTGTGGCTGAGAACAGCGTGGGCCGCGCCGAAGCTTCTGGCTCCCTCAGTGTTCACGGTGAGGGCCTACCTGGGACGGCCAGAAGCAGGGATGAGATGAGGGAGCACGGGGTGCAGAGGAGAACGAAGGAGAAAGGACTGGGTGGGAGACATGGGTGGGCCACTTGAGAGGCTTCAGAAGGAGAGAAAGGAGGAGAAAGCTGAGCAGGCTTGAAATAGGAGTTGGCTATCTGCTCCTACTTAAGCCAAGCTTGGGCTTCTCTCCCTCCTGTTCCCTCAGTCTCCCTTCTGAGTGCCCTGATTCCCTGTTCCTTTATCACCTCCCCCTTCCCAGTCCCACCCCAGCTGGTGACCCAGCCCCAGGACCAGATGGCAGCTCCTGGAGAGAGTGTGGCTTTCCAATGTGAGACCAAAGGAAACCCCCCACCTGCCATCTTCTGGCAAAAGGAGGGAAGTCAAGTAGGTGGCCAGCTCTGTGGGACTTCCCACAAGCTTCTCTTCTGGGTCTTAGCCTCCCACCTTGTACAGCCGGCAGACTTCTCTCTGAGGTCCCGTTTTACCTTTGGTCCTCTCAGAAACCCTTGCAGGTTATTTGGGAGGCTTAAATAAGATAATGAATATAAAAGGCCTGGAGCGTATTGAACACTTTAAAAAGAAATGATGTTAATAATGCTTAGGTGGGAGGAAACAGTCCTGTATGGTAATTCCCTGGAGAATCCTTCTATTTTAGGCAAGGCTGTCCTGAAGATGTGGCAAAAACAGTCGGTGCCTCCTCTCCCAGACACCTGGGGCCTGGGCTTTAATATGCTGCTCTGGAAAGTGTGTACTGTACCAAAGCTGCTCAGGGTGCAGCACGACTCGCTCATCTATTTACAAGGGGCTTCCACCAGGGGGCGCTCACAGCCACCCACCTTCGCAAACCGATTCCTCAAATGAGAACCAGAAGGAACACATTCACTGAAGTTACACAACATGAGTACCAACCACTAGGGGAAGGGTGGGAATTTTGCTACTGGGAAACAGGGTCAGTATAATAAAATAAGTCTGACTAATCCCACCCCACTGGAAAACCAGTTCTCCCACTACCTCATTTCCAAATCCACAGCCACAATTTTCCAACATCTTCTCTAGCGTCTGGGATTGCTATATTTTAACTAGATTCTTAAATGAATAGAAATGCTGATGGTAGTAGAGGGTAGTAGAGGGTAGTAGGTATCCATCAGGGGATCAACCACGTGGCATTTGCCTGTGACCCTAACCTCTTTCCCTACCTTCTGTGTATCTACGTAACATAGAGCCAGAAAAAAAGGGGAAGATATTTAACCTTTATCACATAATGTGTTAAAAGATTTTCATGATTAGTCATTTAATCCTCATAACTATCCCCTAAGAGTCAAATTTGGGGAAATGTGGGCTCAGGAAGGTTAAAGAGCTTGCTCAGAGTTTCCCAACTTGTAAGTCACAAAGCTGGGAAGTTCACCCCAAAATCATCTAATAAAATTTGCACATTTTTGTGAGTAGATCTCACTGGTTGGCCCAAGGTCATATAACTGGCTGGTGGGGACAGAGTTGGAGCTAGAACCTCAGGAATTCTCTGAATTCTGGGGTTGATGGGAAAAGGGATCTTTCTCTCTGTCAGTTGCCTGCTCATTCCCTACCCTGGTTCTTTGCTCTGTCCCCAGGTTCTGCTTTTCCCCAGTCAGCCACTTCAGCCCAAGGGGCGCTTCTCAGTCTCTCCCAGAGGCCAGCTCAACATAACTGATGTGCAGAGCGGGGATGCTGGTTACTACGTGTGTCAGGCTGTTAGTGTGGCCGGCAGCATCCTGGCCAAGGCCCTGTTGGAGGTAAAAAGAGGTAGGTGCTCATGGAGATAGGCCTGGACCTATGGCCTGAAAGGAAGTAATGGCTTAAAGATATCTGTTTTTCTTGGATTCTATATAATATGTCTGCCAGGGGAGGGGCGTGTTCCTGAGACATGGCCTTGAAGTTTGGAAATCAGCCACAGCAACCACTAATAGGTGGCTGGTCCCAGGCAGAGACTACCCGATGGTTATCGAAGCCCCTCCAGTCTCGGGGGGGAGGACGAGTGAAGCAGCAGAGAAGGAAGACAAGGGGCTGGTGGCCTGAACCTGGGATCCTCTCCTGAGGTGCCCAAGTTCTTCCTCTCTCAGCCTCCTCCTTGGATGGGGTGCCTCCCATCATCCTCCAGGGACCAGCCAATCAGACGCTGGCACTTGGCTCCTCTGTGTGGCTGCCATGCAGAGTGACTGGGAACCCTCCACCTAGCGTCCAATGGAAGAAGGATGGGCAGTGGCTGCAGGGGGATGACCTCCAGCTCAGCCTCATGGCCAACGGTACCCTGTACATCGCCAGTGTGCAGGTGAGTCTCCCCCCTGGGACCCGAGTAACTGAGAACGGCCACATGGTCCACGTGCCCACCTCTCGTAAGTACCCACTGGGACTAACTCCATTTCTACTCCTCTGCTCTCTGAGACCACCGAAAGTGGACCATGTCTTCCCCAGCCTTCTGAACACTCACCTCCACCCCCTCACCCTACCTTGCTCCATCCCCAGTTTGCCAGCCCTCTACCCTCTCCTACAGGAGATGGACATGGGTTTCTACAGCTGTGTGGCCAAGAGTTCCACAGGGGAGGCCACGTGGAGTAGCTGGCTTAGGACGCGGGGTGAGTTTTGCCTCTGTCCCCTCGCTTTGCCAACACCTCCATCCAAACCTGCTACGAGTAGTCAGTACCTCCCCAAGCCCCAGCACCGATTAAGCTTCCAAATGCCATGGCCACGGTGGTGGGGAGGGGGAGGACGGAGGTGGTGCCCTTGGGAGGCAGATGAGAGTAGGGGTTCGTTCACTCCGCCCCCCTCTCCACCGTCACCCCTGTCACAGCTCCTCAGCTTCTCTGGGAAGGGGGCAGGTTACAGGGGGGGCTGTCCTTTTCCCATCCTTCTACTTAAAGATGATCTCCTCACTGCAGAAGACTGGGGGGGATCACCAGAGCCGCCTACAGAACGCAGTAGCCCTCCAGGGCCTCCCTCTCAGCCAGTGGTCACTGAGATCACCAAGAACAGTATTACACTGACCTGGAAGCCCAACCCACAGGCGGGGGCCACAGTCACCTCTTATGTGATAGAGGCCTTCAGGTACGGAGAAAGTGTTACATGCAAACCTGGAAAGTCAAAGGAAGGGAATCTTATGTTCTCAGGGTCTTTGCTATGGTGCGGAGAGTTCTGCCGGTTCCCTCTCCCAAGGAGTGGAGAATGGATGAGAGGGAGTAGACAAGTGGGGGGGCCCCTGGCTCAGACTAGTCCGTCACCGCATTCCCATTGCAGTCAAACAATTGGTAACACCTGGCGGACAGTGGCAGATGGCGTGCAGCTGGAGACACACACGGTCGGTGGTCTGCAGCCCAGCACCACCTATCTGTTCCTGGTGCGCGCCGTGGGAGCCTGGGGCCTCAGTGAGCCCAGCCCCGTCTCTGAGCCTGTGCGCACCCAGGGTGAGTAAGGTCAGAGTCCCTGGCTCGGGGATATGACATGAAACACTGCAGAGTGCCCCCCTCCAAACTATGGCAGCATGGCAGCTCTTTTCTGCTGTACCAGGCCTCTCCTGGTAGTCCGGTCTGGAATAGTCACGCCTCTCTCTCGTGGAGGGGACAAGAGAAGAGGGGAGAGAGGGAAATCCAGTCATCCAGCCCCTCACTTCTGAGCCTTTTACCCACAGATAATCTAGATTAGGACTAGAAGGGACCTTGGAGGGTTCATCTTCATGTTAGAGATGAGGAACTGAGGTCTCTAAAGTGCAGAGAGTAGATTCATATTTGCTGGACACCCGGGCCCACCTCTGGAAGCTCTTCCCCTGACCAGCCCCCTCCTGATCCTGGGGTGTGTTCTGGAGTACTAAGTAGTGCAGTCTGTGGGTGCAGCGCAAGGTAGGATACAAGCACATTTTCAGTCTGACTCCTTGTCCCTGGTGGCCCCTGCTGAGTGGGCTCTTTGGTCAATAGACAGCAACCCATCCAGGCCAGTGGAGGACCCATGGAGAGGCCAGCTGGGGCTGGCTGAAGTGGCTGTGCGCGTGCAGGAGCCCATAGTCCTTGGGCCCCGGACATTGCAGGTGTCCTGGACTGTGAGTGTGGCATAGGGATGAGGTTAAGGGCAGGGCTGATGATGGGGGCCATAGGGACCTCCAGGAATGGGTACGGGAGAGTGGGAAGTGAGTGGCTGGGGAAAACCGGGTGAGTGGAGGTGGGGCAGGGCCCGGAGGACTTGTGTGGTCCCTGGCTCTCCTTCTGGTATGCTTTGTCCTGTCTCCTACAGGTAGATGGCCCAGTCCAGCTGGTGCAAGCTTTCCGGGTGTCTTGGAGGGTAGCAGGTCCTGATGGGGGAAGCTGGACAGTACTGGACCTACAGACCCCGAGCCAGCAAAGTACTGTGCTAAGAGGACTCCCGCCAGGGACCCAAATTCAGATCAAGGTGCAAGCCCAAGGCCAGGAGGGGCTGGGGGCTGAAAGTCCCTTCGTGACCAGGAGCATTCCTGAGGAAGGTAAGGAGGTGGTACACAGAGCCCACGAATGAACAACAGGAAAGAGGGAGTAGGGGAAGATAGAAGTTTGCAGGGGAAGAGCAAGGGGAGTTGTGGGAAGAAGGGATACCTGATATCTCAGTTCCCAAGGTGATACCTGGGATGGGGAAGTTGGGGCAGGAGGGGTAGCTGGCAATGACTGTCTTTCTCACCATGCTCCTCCCGGGGCCAAGCCCCCAGTGGTCCCCCCCAGGGAGTGACAGTGGCCTTGGGGGGTGAAGGCAACAACAGTGTCACGGTGTCCTGGGAACCTCCGCTCCCTTCCCAGCAAAATGGGGTCATCAAGGAATACCAGGTACAGGGTTTAAGAAGGGACTGGGTGGCGGGGCGGGGGGGGGTGGAGCTAGGGGCTAGGATTAGGGAGGAGGGAACCTAGAATGACCTCGGGGCTGAAGATGAGGTTGGGGGAGAGGAGAGAGGTTTCAGAGTGTTCCCTCCAGGCTGAATGATGCCTGGCTAAGCCCCCTCTACTGTTCAGAGCTTCGAGCTTCCACGTGAGGCCAGGATCCCATTTCAGACTCTCTAAACCCGGGTCTCGGCCTCCCCAGATCTGGTGCCTGGGCAATGAGAGCCGCTTCCACCTCAACCGGTCCGTGGCAGGCTGGGCACGCTCCGCGGTGCTCCAGGGACTGCTGCCGGGTCTTCTTTACCGGACCCAGGTCGCGGCGGCCACCAGCGCTGGCGTGGGCGTGGCCAGTGTCCCGGTGCCGGTGCAGCTGCGTGAGTCCGGAGGCGGGGTGGGCCGGGCTGGGGAATTGGAGGCGGGGGGGTCCTGGAGTGGGGGTGCCTACGGGGTCAGGGATGGCCCCTCTTCCTCGCTATCGGGTTTCCAGGCCCCTGGTCCCCTCACTTCTCTGACCCCCACAGCTTCCCCGCCGGAATCGGAGCCTGGGCTCGAGGTGGGCCCGGGGCTGGCGGAGCGGCTGGCGAGGGTGCTGCGGGAGCCGGCCTTCCTCGCGGGCAGTGGCGCCGCCTGCGGGGCCCTGCTGCTCGGGCTCTGCGCGGTCCTCTACCGGCGCCGGAGGCAGCGCAAGGAGCTGAGTCACTACACGGGTGAGCGGGGCCTGAGGGGCAGCGCGGGCTGACCGGCGCACTTGGGCCTTGGGGAGACGGAAGGGAGGGCCTTGGAGTGGGCGGAGCCTGGAGATCCCGCCCCTCGGGGAGGGAGGCGGGCCCGACGGAGAGCGGCACGGGAGGGGCTCATCGCTCGGTGGGTGGGGGCGGGGCCAGAAGGGAGGGGTGGTGCCCCCCGAACTCCCCCACTCCCCCACCTCCCTCCCCGAGCTTCGCTCCTTCGAGAGGGACGCGCTGTGGGCACCGTCGGGCAAGAAGCGGACGGGACTGGGGGGAACTGGCGGGGCCCGGAGGGGCGGGACCTGAGTCTGGGGAGACGGGTAAAATCTTCCCCTAAGATGCCTCGAGAGGAGAGCGGGCTTTGCAGTCAGTCTCAGTATAGAAGGGGCAATTCTGGAGGGGGGCGGGGCCTGGCGGGAGGTGGCGTGGTCAGGATCCTGGGCCTTAACTTGTGAGGCGGGGTCTGGGTGGAAAGGCGGGGCCCGCTGAAAAGAGTAGACTAGATTTCCGCTACTCCCTGGTAAGGGGCGTGTCTGGGGAGATTCTGAGGTCTCTTAGATCAGGGGTTCCCAACCTTGGCTACACATGGGGAACTTTTAGAAAAATACTGATGCTTGAGTCCCACTCCTAGAAATTGTGATGAAATCGGTCCAGGGTACAGGCTGAGTGGTGCACTTGGGACCGAGGCCAAGAAGGGGACAAGAATGTGGGTATTTCTGACCCTTTCTCCATTTACCCTCTTCTTTCTCCCATGGATTCCTTTTCGGAAGCCTCCTTTGCCTACACACCTGCAGGTAAGCTCTCTCTGCTCCAGTGGGGTTCAGACCCCAAGTATGGGCCCTTCTCTCACTCAGTCTCCCCCTCATCTTCCCAGTGTCCTTCCCACACTCAGAGGGCCTCTCTGGAGCCAGTTCCAGGTAATCCTCTTAATCCATCTCCCAAGGATCATCCCCCTCCATCAAGAGACCATTCTCCTTCCTCCCCAGGCCTCCCCAGGCCACTGACTGCCTCCCACCTGCCACCCCCAAATTCACCATTACTGTCCTACAATTCCTGTTTACCCTTAAATTCACTGGCCTGTTCAGGCTCTGGGTCCCCAGCGTTCACGTGCTTTCTCTCAGGCCACCCATGGGCCTTGGCCCCGCCCCCTACCCTTGGCTCGCAGACTCGTGGCCCCACCCATCTCGAAGCCCCTCAGCCCAGGAGCCCAGGGGGAGCTGCTGCCCCAGCAATCCTGACCCAGAGGACAGATATTACAATGGTGAGGAGTTCTAATTCCCTCAGGGGCACACCTGGCCCCCAACACCCTTCTCTCCTCTCCACCTCCTGGGGCAAACTGAAGGGAGCCGAGGATTGTCAGTCTTCCTGAGGTTGGTCAGTCCCTTGGGGAGGATATGAGTTGGGGGAGCTTCTCTCATGCCTAACCTTTACCCTGGTTTGAGAGGTAAGGTTTGGGTGGGGGAAGAAGTTGATCCGGTGGGATCTCCTTTTGCCCTCCATTCTCCTGTTGTCCGCTATTTCTCTGTCTCTGCCCCCTGCCCCTTGCCTCCCCCCCTGGCCTCCCTCTTTCTCCTCCTCAGAAGCAGGGATCTCTCTGTACCTGGCTCAGACGGCCCGGGGCACTGCCGCCCCTACCGAGGCTCCTGTCTACAGCACCATTGACCCAGCTGGGGAGGAGCTGCAGACCTTCCATGGGGGTTTCCCCCCAAATCCCTCAGGGGATCCAGGCACCTGGAGCCAGTATGCTCCTCCAGAATGGAGCCAGGGGGACAGTGGTATGCCTTAGTCCCTAACACCCCCATTTTAGCTCTGAGCAGAATATCCCCAAAGAATATCCTCTACCCTTCCGCTCTGGGACCCAGCCCAGCACTTGCTTCTGACATTTCTCATCTGCCTCTTATCTCCGTGTGTCCCCATCCTGCCCTTCTCAGGAGCCAGAGGAGGCAAAGTAAAGCTTCTGGGAAAACCTGTTCAGATGCCCTCTCTCAACTGGCCAGAAGCCCTGCCCCCACCTCCCCCTTCCTGTGAACTGAGCTGCCTAGAGGGGCCGGAGGAGGACCTGGAGGGCGGGTAAGGATGTGCCCTGTTGCAGATGCCCTAAACAGATGGGACCAGCCGAGGGCACCCGGCTGGGGGAGGGCAGAGGTGCTGGGAAAGGAGGGGAGAGGGCAACCGGAAGGCCAAGTGGAAGGTATGGAAGCTGCTCAGTCATGGCTACTCTTCTTCTTCTTTGTCCCCAGTTCAGAGACAGAAGAGTGGTGCCCACCAATGCCTGAGTGGAGCCGTCTGGCCGAGCCCAGCTCCAGGGGAGGCTGCTTGGTCCCTCCATCCCAAGGGGAAGCCCCCTCTCCCACATCTTCCTATGGACAGCAGTCCACAGCCACTCTTACCCCCTCACCTCCTGACCCTCCCCAGCCCCCCACTGACATTCCCCATCTCCACCAGATGCCCAGGTAGGGAGGTATATAGTGCCTTGCACATTGTAGGCCCTGGGTGCATATCTATTCTGCGGATGATTGGAGGGATGGATGGATGGATGGATGGATGGATGGATGGATGGATGGATCTGGGGTACAGAAGGTCTCATGACCGTGTCAGAGTGGAAGTGTGATTCTGGAAGGAGCGTGATGGCTGACAAGGTCTCTCACTCCCTTCAGACTGTTTCTCCATTGGAGTGGCTCTGCAAGCTTCTCGGGGCATTTCAAAAACATGGCTCTCCTCACACTTCACTAGCCTGGGAGCCCTGTGGGGGACAGCCTGTGCCTTATTCATTGGTGTACCTAGCACGGTGCCTGGCACATAGTAGGCACTTAGAGTTTCTTGAGTGAACAAATGCTGAGGTCTCATGTCATTGCAGGAGGGTGCCCCTTGGGCCAAGTTCCCCTCTCAGTGTATCCCAGCCCACTCTGAGTAGCCTGGTTGCTAGCGCCACAGCCTCCCATCACCTCAGCCCCAGCCCTGTCCCCAGTGCCGCCAGCAGTGCCCCCGGTGAGTCTGCAGAACGCTCAGCCTGCCCCTACCTCCCCATACCGCCCCCCCAACCTTGTTTCCTCTTCACCCTCAAGCCCCTTTGCCTGATCCTCTCTCTTACCCGCTCTTCTCCCCATCTGCTGACGCGACAGGGAGAACCCGGCAGGTGCCTGGGGAGATGGCTTCTCCACTTCAAGGGCCCCGCGTCCGAATCCGGAAACCCAAGGCTGTTCCTTACCGTCGGGAGCACAGTCCTGGCGGTGAGGGTGCCCTGGGCCATGAGAGATGGTGACAGTAGGGGAAATAGGCAGCAACCAAGGGGGAGCTCTGGGGGCTGGAGGAGGGAGCAGGTGAACCCAAATCTTGGGCTGTTTAGTCGCAGCCTCCTGGTGCCGGGGAGTAGGAGCAGGAGAAAGATCGGGATCAGGTGGGGTGGGAGACTCTGCTGAAAACAGGTCTCTCCCCAGACTTGCCCCCACCACCCTTGCCGCCACCAGAGGAAGAGACGAGCTGGGCCTCAGGGCTGAGAGCAGTGGGCAGCATGTCTTCCTTGGAACGGGAGCGGGACCGCAGTGGGGAGAGGAGAATGGTGCAGGCTGGGCCCCTAGGGGCCCAGCGGGGTCCCCACCTGGATGGTAAGGAGGGCCAGGGCAGGCCAGAGGCTCACTGCCACACAAGAAGGTGGCACTGGAGGCTGATAGTGTAGTATAGACCGTGCCATCGAAGGACTTTAAAGTTTTCAACCCAGCTCACCCCTCACCCTCAGTTGGGTTCATGCCTATGATCCAAACCTACGCTTGTCTCTAGCTCTCGCTGGGAAAAATCCCCTGCAGTTCCCCAGTTGTAGAATTTCCCAGACTGAAGCCCAGATGAGAGAAGAGTGGGTCTGGGTGTTCTGTCTCTTCTTTCCCAAGGCTCTTTCTGTCTGCGAGTTCCCGGTGGGTTTCGGAGCACCCGTTATGTCAAGGCCATGTGCTGGGGCATTCTGTTTCCCCTCGGCCCCCAGGATGGCCCTAGCCCCATGCCTGCCCTCAACTCTTCCTCTAAAGCTGGGATTGAGGCCAAGGTGGCCCACTGGGCCAACGGTGATGTTCTGTTCTCTGCCTGGTTGCCCTTCTCTGTTGTGCTGCAGAGGAGACCTTGCTCCCCTACAGCCGACCAAGCTTCCTGTCCCGGGGCCAGGCCACCAGCACCTGCTCCACAGCGGGCAGCAACTCTTCCAGAGGCTCCAGCAGCTCTCGAGGCTCCCGGGGCCCTGGACGGAGCCGGAGCCAGAGCCGGAGCCAAAGGCCAGGACAGAAACGTGGAGAGGTGGGGGCTAGGGCATGCAAACAAGGGGAGTAGGAGGCTAGGAGGGGCGAGCCAAGGGGTGGCTGAAAACAAGAGGGAGAGAAGGGCTTTCTGAGCAAGTGTCAAAAGGAGGGGACCCAGGGAGTGAGGAGGGAGGGAGGAATCCTGGAGAACAGGTGACAAAGGGTGAAGACAAGGTCATACGTAGAGGAGCCTGGGGTCCCCAGAGGAGAGTGGGTTCAGGAGAAGGGCTGAGGAAGAGAAGAGGCATGGCGTCTCCTAGAGCCTGCTTGCCCCGGCCTGGGACCTTGCAAACCAGCCTCTTTCTCTCTCTAGGAACCAAGATGACCCTTGAGGAGGATGTCAGGAGTTCCATGGGGAAGGGCTTGTCCCGGGGCCGGGAGCTTTGGATGGGAACCCCTCCTCCTGGTTAATGGGGGGGTGAGCAGAGAGGAGCAGGGCGGGGGGTGGTCTCGTCCCTCCTGGCAATGATGCTCAGAAGCCAGAGAGCGAGCTCTTCCCTTTCTATCTCTTTCCACCTGAACCTCATTTGTAAAAGAGACAATAAAAAGAGTCTGATGGGAGCCCTGGACGCTGCTTGTCTGGTTTTGTGCAGGATGTGGGGAAGAAAGGGGCTGCAAAAGAGTGTAGATCAAGGCACTCAGAGAAGCCTCCACTTCCTTTTGAACTTCCATCAAAAGCATTAGAGGAGGACAGAGTCCTGTCCTGCCTCTTGAAGGAGCTAAAGCCCACTCTCTCCTCAGTTAAAACCAGAGGGACTCTCCAAATAACCAACAAGGAGAAACTTGTCCACCTTCAGACAACCAAGCCAGGCCCGCCCTAGGTGCCCTCCTCCGGGGTCTGTCTACTCTCCTGTAAGGAAATATGCCCCTCACAATAATAATTTTTTTTTAAAACTCAAACAGGGTGCCTGGGTGGCTCAGGCCGTTAAGCATCTGACTCTTGAGTTGCGGCTCAGGTCAAGATCTTAGGGTCGTGAGATGGAGCCCCTCATCGGGCTCCGCGCTGAGCACAGCATCTGCTTGTCCCTCTCCCTCTCCCTCTGCCCCCTCCAGCCCTTCCCCCCACCCCACCACTCTCTCTTTAAAATAAATTTTAAAAATCTGTAAACAATTTTTTAAAATAAATAAACAAAATAAAACTCGAGGAATGAGGTTGATGGGGGAAACCCCAGCCAAAAAGGAAAAACAGGCTTTTTTCAGATCCCCTGACTCCCTCACAGAGGGTGTGTGCACAGAGATAGCTTTTGGCCAGGGCTAGGCCCGGATGTGATTGGTTTGGCTGGCATAGAATTTTTTGAAATTTTGGCCCTGACTGCGCACTGCTCCGTCCCCCACAGCCCATGCCACCGAATGGTTTTCTGAGCTTTGTTTCCTTCTGACTTCTTCACCCCCAGGCTCAGTAACTGCCCCGGGCTCTCAGGGGACGGCCACTGCCCCCACCCCCATCCCCAAGCCCAGGCTCTGACCTCTCCTGCCACTGTGACCTAAGTGTGCACAAATCCCTTTTTCTCCATTGGTCTGGCAAACCGGGTTGGAATGTTTTCAAAAGGAATTTTACCAGGAAGCTAAAAGTAAAACAAAATCCAAAAAAGGAAAAGCAAAGAGAGAGGAACGGATATGTATCCGGAGCACTGATTTCTCATCCTGAGACTAAGACACTCCAGCCCAGACTGGTAGTTCAGGCAGCACCGTGTCCCCCAGGCCCTGCCTCACTCGGCCTGTGAGTTCAGAGTGGCCTCTAGGTAGAGTGGCTTAGGTTTGGGGGGTTATCACCCCCTTTCAGGGCCTGCTTCCTAATTGACCCTCCCTAAAGGCATCCTCCTGTGGCCCCTGGTCTTGCTCAGGGGCACTGTCGCCCCCAACTTGTGCGTTCTGCTCCTGCCTTTCCCTCCACGTTAGAAGGACCGGGCCCTTCTGGTACTTTCTGTGGTTCTGGCCCTGGCAGTCGGCTCCATTTCTCTGTTCTGTTGTTTTGTCTGAAGGGTGTTCACTAGCCAACCATTACAGGTGGTTCTACCATTTGGGGAATTAAGCTACTTCATCTATTTTAAGAAACCCTCTGGTCTTAAGCATCTGGGACTGGTCTTTGGGGAGGGGGGCTGGGGCCGCTGAAAGAAGAAGTTGTCTTCCTAGGACAAGCTGCGAAGACCAGCCGACCAGAGGAATCCGAAGGACGCGCGTAATTCTTCCCTCAATCACAGAACAGAACTAAGTGACTCTCCCTGAGTGCCAACGAGTGCCTGAACCCTTTGGAACTCAGAATTCTTCCCATATCTCCGGGTACCCTCCCCAAAATGGTGCTCTGGGGAATGATCTCACCGCACTCAAGTCATGACAGTTTTATGGTATTAATTTCTTAAGCTCATAGAGTCCACAGTATGAGGAGGGGGTTTTTCCCACCATTTTCCCATTTTCCCACCTCCCTTCCCCCACAGCTCCCTCCATGGATCCAAGCTGACCCTTCTGCCTTGGTAGCAAGGTCTGGCCTCACCACTTCGGGGCTGGTCGGTGGGTCCTCCTTTCTTCCTCTCCCGGGTGTGGCTGGGGAGAGGTGAGCCCGCCCCTGTGGGAATGAATGGTCCCCTCCCGAGAGGGGTGGCTCTGTAAAGCTCCTTCCCTTACCGCCTGTCCCACAAGCTGCTGCTGTCCTCTGGAAAGACCTCTGGCTCCCCCACTTCCTGTGATCCAAGTGGGTGGGGAGATCGGGAGATAAGGCTGCTTCTCAGGCCAGAAGACTTGGCTGTCGGATGGATGGAAGGAGGAGAAAGCAAGGGCGAGGAGTCAGGCCGGGATGGTTTTTTGCTCCCTGAGGGCTCCAGGTCTGCTTTGTGCTTATTTTGTTGTGCTTTCATCTGTTTTCACAATCCCGGAAGGACGAGAGCTCTCCGGGAGGCCGGGCAAGGTGGTCCCCCAGCTGCGGAGAAGGGCAGGCCAAGACTGACACTCCACAGGGGCGTGGTTTGATTCTCTTCTTGGCAGTCTCGGGCACACTTCATGAGGAGTCTGCAGGGGAAGTCGAAGGAGAGTGGAGTTACCCCGCTGCTCCCCCTCTCCTGCCCAACCCCAGGGCTCCTCTTGGCTCCTCCCCGGAATCCCTCAGCGAAGGTCACCATGTCAGCTCAGAAGACAGACACTTACTGCCAGCCTTGGGCTCAGGACGGTCGAGCTGACTTCTTCGGGAAGAGATCCGAGAGTCGGGGGGCCAGGGAGGCAGCCCCCTTCCCAGCCGCTGGCTGTGGTGGTCCTCCATGTCCTCCAGCCAGTCCGACCTCCACTCCCACAGGGGTAGGGAGAGGGCGGAGGTCAGGAAGAGGTCATCCCGGGGGGAGGGAGGTGAGGAAGCATCTGTCAGGGAGGGTAGAGTTACTTGTAGAGGGTTGACCTTCACTCTGAGGGACCAGTTTAGGGCAGAATGCTTAGAGCCTGCTTAAGGCACTCACCCAACCTGAAAGATAACCTAGCCCCAACTCAGCCCATCAATTCTGGCAGCCATTGGAATGAGTCCATTGGTTTCTTTAGAGAGAATAGCTTGAGCTGTTTCCTCCTAGCCCAGCTCTGGCCTTCTATCCATACTCTCGCCCTTCACCACACCCCCCTCCCTGGGCATCCTTCTCCCTCCGTTATGGGCACTTCTGTCCTGGATAATCCTTGCTTTCCCATTTACAAGCCTGGTGGTTTTTCTTGGAGGCAAAGGGTAGAGTTAGGGTTCATAAGATGGGGAGAGGGGTTCTGACAGAGTATATGAGGAAGTGGGGGCGCCTGGGTGGCTCAGTCCGTTAAGCGTCTGCCTTCGGCTCAGGTCATGATCCTGGGGTCCTGGGATCGAGCCCCGCATCGGGCTCCTTGCTCAGCGGGGAGCCTGCTTCTCCCTCTGCCTGCCGCTCCCCCTGCTTGTGCTCTCTCTCTCTCTCTCATCAAATAAATAAATAAAATCTTAAAAAAAAAAAAAAAAAGGAAGGGGCACAGGGAGCCCTAGCTACTGTCTGTTGACATGGACACAATGGTCCCACTCTGCTCGACAGGTGGAGGGGTGAGCCCAGCTTCTTCTCGCCCCAGCCACAGACAGGGCAAGGGGAAGGCTTGTAAGCATAGCAGGAGGTAAGAGAGAAAATAGACCTTCCCCTAGTGAGGAGAATCTAAAACAGTGAGTTGGAGTAAATAGAAGAGGTGGGGAGCAATCTTTCCTAGAAACCAGTGTCTGGGTTACGAGGAGGAATCTAGAGGGAGGACAAGGGGCCTACAGTTGGCTGCCTCTGGGCTTTAGACTTGAACATTTTGTCCTTGTTCTTGTGGATGACCTTGGGCAAGTGAAAAAACCTGTTTGATTTACAGTTTCCTCATTTGGAAAAGAAAGATAAAGAATATTCCTCATAGAGTTGTTAATATTGAATGTATATAGAGGGCCAGGGACAGAGCAATCATTCAATAAAAGCTAGCTGTTTTAAGGATTACCACAAAGACAATGGTTAGGAAGCCTTGCCTCTTGGTTGGGGAGAAGGCAGGGAGGGGTTCTTCCAGGAGCTGTGTCTATTCCAAGGGGTGGAGGTGAGACGTGAGGCAGGTGATCTCACGTACCCGTGAAGACGCAGTCCGCCTCCCTGGGCTCCAGACCAAAGCCAAAGCTGTCCACGGCCATGGCCAGGGCCCGGGCGAAGTGGGCGTCGGCGAGGAAGGAGCCATCAGAGGAGCTGACGAGGCTGGCTCTGGCACTGGGGACATTGTCCTCAGAGGCGGAGCCCCAGCCGTTGGCCAAGGAGCCCTCGCTGGGGGTAGGGGTGGGGCAGGGCCGGGGTGGGCACAGCAAGCCCCTCACTTCGGACCCCACCCCTCCTCCAGCCCTGCCCACGTCTGCTAGCTCTGAGGCTGTCGGGATGCTGATGTAGCCGTAGGTGACAGGGGGTGAAGGAGCCCTTGGCATAGGAGAGACACTATTCCTAGAAGAGAGACAAAATGGGAGACAGGACTAAGGTTGAGGTGGGTAGGCTGGCAGCAGAAACATTCCCGGGGAGGAAGGGCAGGGCCGGGCAGAGA